CCGGCGCCGGCAACCGGAGTGATGGAGGTGGAGGAGGAGGAACAGGCGCTGTGGTGGACAGCGCGGGCGCGACGGAGCGGGCTGGGGCAGGCGCCGCCGGTCGCTCGGGCTCGGGTAAGAACGACCTCCACTGTAGCACAGTCTGTACTACACCGAGATATATTCAGTCCCACATCGCCGATTTCAGCGATTTCCACTGCTATATAAAAATTTGCCTCCGTATTGTCATCACCAAGTAACATCAGAAGATTCCTGGAATGCTATTGATCCGCAGTGGGGGATCGTTTTCTTCATAAGTACATCGGTGCTCCTGATTTTTGGAACTTGGGAGTATATGTCCCTCTGTAGCATTTGGTGTGATGCAATGAATCACACTGTGTAGCTTCTCACAGAGGATTTGAAACCACATATCAGTATTCTCATGGCGCTGTCCGTGAGTTGCTTGTCGACCTTTGTTTTGTCATTGACCCAGTGCCTTCTCCAGATATCACAACTGTTTATGATCCATGTAATTGTTCTGACCATGTATGTTGCCATCTAAGGACCTGTTTGATGAATTTTCAATTGGAGTCTTCTGTTATTGACTCTCATGCTCTTCATGGAGTTACAAGTAGAATAGTGCAATACTGGTGGATTGGATCCCAGAAAACTCTGTTTCACATACCGAGTTTCCTCTGGCCATTTCGTTACTGATTGTGTAAAGAACAGTCTTACTAATGTCGCTACGGTATATCATAACTGTCGCAGCCCGCGTCGCAGTTTCACACCACAATCCCAACCAGTGCGTAAATGGGTTGCTTTAATCTGTAGATGACATGTGGCAGCACGACATACTCATTAGCTATTTCGTTGATCGGCATGCCCTTTTCTATCTACATGTTTGCTTTTACAAAAATATATAACCTTTAAATTGATGAAACCCTATGTTTTCAGCTTACATACTTGCACGTGATTGCTGTAACGTTGTGAATAAACCAAAGGCATATGTCGTCTTCAGAACTTTGTTATTGGTGAACATATTCTTACACCATCTTCAGGCATCGAGTCTCCAATTAAGGTAATGCTTGTTGTTGTAATTTGGATGTATTGATTACTTTGTGGGCCATAGATCAGAACAAACCTTTCTTGGGACTCAGAGGTTAAATGCCGGAGGATTCATTTTCCTTTTTGACAGGATTGTGCTATAAGTGTGAAGTGATAATTTTACTGTTTTGAGCACTGAAGCTGGTTGGATCGAAAAATTGAGCCTTCAATCTGGTATTAGTCGTGCCAGGGGAAGTCGTCAGATTAGCTTGTGATGCTACAAATGATTCTCTAACTATTAAGGTTTGATGCTGCTGTTGCACTTTAGTTCAATGACAGTTTATTTCTCACAAGACTACAATATGTTCCAGCGCCTGTTAATTAAGTGCATCTACTTTATGGAATGCTAATGTACATTTCATTTCGTCTTCCATGCTCTTATCACTGGTTAAATGTCCAGAGAAGGAAGGAGATACAGGTGCCATTGGATTTGGATCTAATGGTCTAGAAGCACGGACTGCGCTGCAGACAAACTCTTATAAAATGCACACGCAATTGAAAGGGCCGTTGGCCGTCTCACTGAAGCACACTTCCAAGCCCTGGCCGTGGCCACACATATTCTGGAAGCCCTTCCCAAATTTTGACAACTCAATTTCGATCTGTCTACATATCACCAGGTAATAGAGGATGTCCCAAACAAATGCAAGAACATGTCCATCAGAAACAAATGAGTAAATATTCAGATTCACAAAGAATAAACAATCACAAAACTTTTATTGAAGAAACCACGAAACTATGAAATTTATATTACAGAGTTGATAGCTCTGAAGCTGAGCTGAGCCTCCTACTATAAACTCTTTATTCAGATGGTACTTATCATTCTACCAGACCTATCAATCTTGTTCATGAGGCAACAAATCTAGCTACTGAAAGGTAAGAACATATGTACAAGCTTTCATACCCATGTCTCATTACACGTCCAATATATTCTACTCCCTCCGTTCCTAAATGTAAGTCTTTATAGAGATTCCACTATAAACCGCATACGGATGTATATACATGCATTTTAAGTCTAGATTCATTCATTTTGCTCTGTATGTAGTCCACCTAATGGAATCTCTACAAAGACTTATATTTAGGAACGGAGGGAGTATTCTTTAGGGTACATCATAGATAAATAAGCACTCCCACTTCCCAGCACCATCAAACATAGTGCTTATCTTCCTCCTGAAATGCTCGATATTGTGCCAACGCTCGTTGATGAACGATATGACATGATGTATGAATCGAACCCTTCATTTTGCATCAAGGCTAGTGCTTGGAAGCTCTGGTGTGCTGGTAGCTCTGGTGGTTCAATATGCCCATCTAGGTATTGGATCACTTGCCGCATGCTAGGCCTTGCACATGCAAATGGGTGTGAGCACAGTAGTCCTAGCTTCAGTGCCAGATGTGCCTCACTGACATTGTACTGCCCTTTAAGCCTTATATCTATTGCATCATCTAGTGACCCTTGTTGTACATGCTCAAGCGCCCAATCAACCAACATGACCTGCTCATCTTGTGTGCTCTGCATGATAGGTCTTTGTCCACAAGTGAGCTCCAGAATAAATACACCAAAGGCAAATACGTCGGTAAGGGGAGTACCCTTGCCCGTGCGTGCTAGCTCCGGAGCAATGTATCCAATGGTGCCAACAACACGAGTAGTTTCTTGCTCAACGCCATGATCATACAACCTTGCGAGACCGAAATCACCCAACCGTGCATTCAACTCATCATCGAGTAGCACATTGCTTGCCTTGATGTCTCGGTGAACGACCACTTTCTCCCACTCCTCGTGGAGATAAATCAGTGCAGATGCAATGCCCCTGATGATCCAAATCCTTTGGTCCCAACTTAATGTGGAGTTGTCCACTTCACCATACAAGTACTTATCGAGGCTTCCTTTGGGCATGTACTCATACACTAACAGGAGCTCACCACGACGCCTACAATAGCCAAGTAAGTGTACGAGATTTGGATTCTGAAGGCGGCCAATGCTGACAATTTCTGCAATGAATTCCTTCATGCCTTGCCTGGAGTGGTGCGACACCCTCTTCACAGCTATCATTAGTTTGGACCTTGACAGCTCTCCTCTGTATACTCTTCCAAATCCTCCGGTCCCTAGGAGGTTTTTGTTGTCAAATCCTTCTGTTGCACGGAACAAATCCTTGTACGAGAAGCGGTGCGGGCCGTATTCGACCTCCCAGTCGTCACGTACTTCTGCATACCTCAAATGCCTTCGCACAAGTAGGGAAACAACGACAGCCACAGACAGGATGAGTGCCGCCGTTGCTAGTGGCAGAATGATCTCCAATACCTGGAGACGACGTCGACCACCCTTGGTACGAGGACCAGGGGGTAGTTTTGGCAGCATGCTGAGATTGATAGCTGGAGCTGGACTGTTCATGCCAAAACTCCAACCAAGCACATAATGCTTCGTTATCTTGCCTTCTGCAGATGAGAAGCCGATGTATGCCACATCTGTGAGCACGCTTGAGAGGTTGTAGTTGGCTGATACTATCGGTCTTGTAGGCTTGTCCATGCCGAGAGGAGCCATGGTGGCATCGATCTGCATCTTCTCTCCATGGTAGTCCACCCACACCTGCATCACCTCTTGGCTATCGAGACTCAAACTCTGGAAGGTCCCATTCTTGTCATGGTAGAAACCGGCATCATGGGATTGTATGGAGCGGAGACTGTTGACGTCAATACCAACATGGTTGTCATTCATGTCTTGGAGCTCCCAGTTCTGGAAGGTGTCTAGCTCGACCGCGAAGATGTGGTTTGTTTGATTGCCATCATTCTGATTGCTGAGAAGACCCAAGTACTGCATCCGCATCGCCGCAGACAAATTCTTGCTCGGCGCAATGAACATGGCGATGCCATTGCTGCTCAAGTCCTTGTAGATGGAGACCATGGCGAAGACAAATGAGGCGGAGAAGGACTGCACAGCCCCATCGGACAAATTGCGGAAGCGCAGTGGATCAGGATAGAAAGCGCGGCCCATGCTCCGGGATGTGCCATTGGTAAGCATAAGCAACCCATTGGGTGTGATCGAGGCCGCACCGTCGAGGGTGAGGTTAGTGTTGGAAAAGCCAGAGTAACTGAACTGGTGCTCATCGCCGGCAACGAAGGGTGGTGCCATGCTAAGGCCAAGGGAGAGTAGTAGTAGCTTGAGTAGCAGAAAGGAGGCTAGCTTCATGCTGGGCATGAAGAATGGCTTGCATAGGCAGATGCGTGTATGGATGTTAATTATGCTTGGGTAACGCCGGCCTTTTGCTCTACTCGGCCTTTTATCAGTCAGATGACTCTCAGCTCTGGAACACAGTTTTGATCCATATTTATCTGTCCAAGCTAATGCGTCGCAGTTTTGCTTGCATCACAGACAAAAACATTGATTTATCTTAGCTTGAACATCGATGCGCAAGCGACCTTTTTGTAATCTTTTGTCATGTAAATTTGGTCAACCGTACCGAAAGTATACCGTTGAATTTAAAGATGGACAAGAACTGAAAAGGAAACGTATATATAATTCCATGTGTGGATGCAGTGCATGATCTAAGACGGTGTGTATTAATACTCTCTGGCTGTGACTTTTGGCGACTAACTTGTGATGATGGGAAACGGCCAGCTCACACTTCAGAGTGCCAGGTCCAGACTATCTCCACCATCCTTCCTAATCCTCTGTTGTTCATCTTGAAATTTGTTATGCCGTCACAGCAACGGCGGAGGATCTCAATCAACCTTTTCTAAGTATCTGTGTAATACATTTGGATCATTCATGTTAGATGTGTATAGTTCATTGTGTACATCCCCATTGTATAAGGGGCTTTTCTGCACTTTCACACACATATGTATGTAATGGCCTTTGGCCCACTAGTTGCTCACTTAACCAACATGGTATCAGTTGCCAGGTTCCTCTTCCTCTCCGTGCCTAGCTTCCTCGTCGCCGGCCATCTCCTCCGTCGCCGGCCACCTTCTCCGCGCCCGGCAGTCCCTGCCCGCGCCCGCGCTCGCGTGCTCAGCCGCGTCTCGGCCGCGCCCTTCCTGCCCGGTCGCGCCCAGGCCGCGCCCCGGTCGCGCCGACCTGCCCGGCCGCGCCCCGGCTGCCTCCTCCCTATCAGGCCGTCCCCGGCCGCGCCGCAACTTCTTTCGCGCGCCCCAGGCCGCGCCTCTGGCTTCCCGGTCGCCCGTCCTCTGCTCCAGATCGGGCAGCCTGACTCGATTGGCCAGCTCGGGCAGCTGAGCCCCCTGCCTCGAGTCGCCCAGCCCTCTGCCTCGACCGGGCCTCGGGCCTCTGCTCGATCCCGCTCGAAGCCGTCTGAGCCCCCTGTCTCGATCGACTTCGTTGCTCGATCTAGATCGGGCTGCTGAGTCCGTTGACCAAAAAAAAGAGATACACAAAGTTCCCTCATGTCTTCTTCGGGCTATGTTGCTGTTTCTAGGTGCTCAGTGATCTTCGATGGCACCAACTATGCTGAATTTGTGGGATTCATGCGCATCCATATGCGTGGTCTTCTTCTCTGGGGTGTTCTTTCTGGCGAGGCTCCCTGCCTGCCATGCCCTGTTGCGCCTGTGGCCCCAATCCCACCGGTGCCGCCGGTACTTGCTCCTGAGGCTTCCTAGGCCGACCGGGATGCCGCCAAGACCCTTGATGATGCTGCAGTTGATGCCTATGATCAGCAGATATCTGCTTACGCCGATGCTCTTTCGGCGTACTGGGATGATCTCTCTGCTTACACTCAGTGGTGCAATGATGATGCTCGTGCTGCTGTTGTTCTTACTGCCAGTGTCCTCCCTCAGTTTGCTTCGGAGTTCATGGGACTTGGCACAGTTGCAACGATGTGGTCTTATATTTGTCAGCGCTATCAGCCCTCTGGTGATGCTCTCTATCTCTCTGTAGTGCGTCAGGAGCACGCCCTCCAGCAAGGTGATTCCTCTGTTGATGAGTTCTATTCACAGTGCTCTGCCATCTGGCGTCAGCTTGACTCTCTTCGGACAGTTGTTTGTGGCACCTATCGTTGCTGTCAGACTACTCGGTCTGATCTGGAGTTTCAGCGGGTCCATGAGTTCTTATCTCGTCTCCGCTCTGAGTTTGAGCCCAGACGTGCTCACTTGCTTGCTCGAGGTCGTGTTCCAATCTCGGAGGTGTTTGCTGAGCTTCGTGCTGAGGAGACCCGCCTCGGCTCAGCTGGTTTGCTGGTGGTCCCGTCTGTGTTGGCTGCTCGAGCTCCTGTGTCGTTTGCTCGGATCACCGCTCCACCGCTCCTCCCCACACCTTCAGGGGGGGTGAGTCGCCCCACTTATACTGAGAGGGGCCGGTCGCACCGTGACACCTTCTGTGGCTACTGCTCTCGGCCCGGTCACCCAGAGTCTGATTGTCGTGAGAAGAAGCGCGACCAGCGGCGCTCCTCTTCCAGTGGGACTCCTGGATCTTCCTCGACTCCGTCACTCACTGACCAGGACATTGTGAGGCTCAAACGCCTCCTGGCTTCCTCAGGCTCTTCCTCGACTGGTTCAGCTGCTGCTGTGACTGCAGCCACTTCTCCACCACCGCAGGCATCTACACAGTCAGGTACATCTTCGTGGGTTTTGGATTCTGGAGCCTCCTTCCACATGTCTTCTGATTCTTCTGTGTTGTCTTCTCTCCGACCTCTTGATTCGCCTGTTAATGTTCTTACCGCTGATGGCACCCCTCTTTCTGTTGCTAGTCGTGGCCTTCTTTCCACTCCCTCCTTTTCTGTTCCTAGTGTCTCGCATGTTCCTCGTCTTACCATGAATCTGTTTTCCGCTGCCCAACTTACTGATTCTGGTTGTCGTGTCATCCTTGATACCGACTCTTGATCCATTCAGGATCGACGCACCAAGGCTTTGGTTGGTGTTGGCCCCGGCGCCGTGAGTCAGAGGGCCTTTGGGAGGTTGACTGGCTTCGTGTTCCTTCCGCTGTCACCACTCTTGCCAGCTCCCATGCTCTTATTGCCTCTTCGTCTGTGTCCTTCCAGCAGTGGCATCATCGCCTTGGTCATATCTGTGGCTCTCGCTTGTCTTCCTTAGTTCGTCAGGGCCTCTTGGGGTCTGTATCTAGAGATGTTTCTTTACATTGTAATGGTTGCAGACTTGGCAAACAGACTCAGTTGCCTTATCCTACCAGTGAGTTGGTATCTCAGCGTCCTTTTGACTTAGTTCCTTCTGATGTTTGGGGTCCTGCCCCCTTTGATTCGAAAGGTGGTCATCGCTATTATATCCTTTTTATTGATGATTTCTCTCGCTACACCTGGCTCTACTTCATGAAATCTCGTAGCGAGGTTCTCTCTATATACAAACGTTTTGCTGCCATGATTCGCACCCAGTTTTCCACGCCCATTCGTACTTTTCGTGCGGACTCCGCTGGTGAGTTTATTTCTTAGCTGTTGCATGGTTTTCTTGCGGAACAAGGTACTCTTGCCCAGTTCTCATGTCCCGGTGCTCATGCTCAGAACGGCGTTGCCGAACGTAAGCATCGTCATCTACTTGAAACGGCTCATGCGTTGATGATTGCCGCTTCCCTTCCGCCTCACTTTTGGGCTGAGGCTGTTTCTGCATCCACTTATCTCATCAACATTCAGCCCTCGACTGCTTTGCAGGGTGGTATTCCTATGGAGTGTCTCACTGGGCGTTCCCCTGACTATTATTCCGCTCTTCGGATGTTTGGATGTGTGTGTTATGTCCTTCTTGTCCCCCGAGAACGCACCAAACTGACTGCTCAGTCGGTTGAGTGTGTCTTTCTTGGCTACAGTGATGAGCACAAGGGCTATCGATGTTGGGATCCTGTGGGTCGTCGCTTGCGCATCTCGCGTGATGTGACATTTGACGAGTCTCGTTCTTACTACCCACGTTCTCATTCCTCGAGTTTCTCTGTGGATGACATTTCTTTTCTGCTCCTTCCTGACACACCCGGCTATGTGCCTCATGTGTCACCTCTTCCTCCGGCACCTCTCATTCCTTCTCATTCCCCACCGACACCGTCTACTTCATCCTCCTCCTCCACCTCTTCACCAGCATCTCCAGTTCGTCGCTCTCTCTCATCGTTCCCTCTCCACTATACTCGCCGATCTCGTACTGAGGATGTCTCCTCTGACGAGCCTTCCACCTCTGGTGCACCTCCTCTCACGCCTCCCCCGGTTCACAACCTTCGTGCTCGGCCTCGCCCCCCGCCTGATTGCTATTCCCCTACTCGGTATGGTCTCTCTGCTATTGTTGAGCCCACTTCCTACCGAACTGCCATGACTCAGCCTGAATGGCAACTTGCGATGGCCGAAGAGCTTGCTGCTCTTGAGCGCTCTGGCACATGGGATCTGGTTCCCCTTCCTTCCGATGTCCGTCCCATCACCTGCAAGTGGGTCTACAAGGTTAAGACTCGCTCCGATGGTTCTCTTGAGCGCTACAAAGCTCGTCTAGTGGCCCGTGGATTTCAGCAGGAGCAGGGGCGTGATTATGATGAGACATTCGCTCCTGTGGCTCACATGGCCACTGTCCGCACTCTTCTTGCTGTGGCTTCTGTCCGTCAGTGGTCTATCTCTCAACTTGATGTTCAGAACGCTTTTCTCAATAGCGAGTTGCGTGAGGAGGTTTATATGCAGCCACCACAGGGGTACTATGCTCCTGATGGTATGGTCTGTAGACTTCGCCGCTCCCTATATGGTCTCAAACAGGCCCCTCGTGCCTGGTTTGAGCGCTTCGCATCTGTGGTGACTGCCGCTGGTTTCTTGCCCAGTGACCAGGATCCCGCACTGTTTGTTCACACGTCTCCTCGTGGTCGGACTCTTCTCCTTCTCTATGTTGATGACATGATCATCACTGGTGATGACACTGATTACATTGCCTTTGTTAAGGCTCGCCTTCGCGACCAGTTTCTTATGACTGATCTTGGTCCACTTCGCTACTTTCTTGGGATTGAGATCTCCTCGACCTCTGATGGCTTCTACATCTCCCAAGAAAAATATATTCAGGATCTCCTTGCTCGCGCTGCTCTCGGTGATGAGCATACGGTTGTGACTCCCATGGAGCTCAACGTTCAGCTTCGTGCCATCGATGGTGACCCTCTTCCTAATCCCACTCGCTATCGTCATCTTGTTGGCAGTCTTGTCTATCTTGCTGTTACGCGTCCTGACATCTCCTATCCTGTTCACATCCTGAGTCAGTTTGTTTCAGCCCCCACCTCTGTCCACTACA